AAATTTTCGCGCATGCTTATTTACATGAACGAGTAACATATGTACAAATCGAGTCTAAAACATAAGAAATGCCATAACATGCAAAATACAACAAACAACATAACATATGTCTCATCTTCCGTTTAGGCGATATACATCAGCTTTATCTAGGATTAATAAGACAGGTCGTCTCCTTTATCATAAAAAATACTAGGAATAAAAATATAAATATCATAAAATGAATGAATGCAATATCACTGTTAACGAGCAAAACTCCTAACGAAGTAAGTCACGCGCGACCATCCATACACTATATCATACCTATAAGCTTACTACTGAGTCATGGAAAGGACAAATGATCCAATATGCATTTAACAGCAAGAATGAGCGCTAAGCATCTGCGAAAGCCTGATCCCTTGACATAATACACTTATTTCTCACAGTCCAATCTTTCATGTAAGTCGTGAGAAATGACAACATGCAACATAATAGAAATCTTTGTACGACAAAATACGGGGGACTGCATTACCCCCAGCTGTTATGATTACCGTGAAGGCCTGTTAGAACCCCTAGAAATCATAACTTCTGTAGCACAGTGAATGCAGCAGAAGGTTGTACTCACAGAGTTGGAGTTGCACTGGCAGTCAACAGAAATGCAGATGGAGCAATCATTATGCATCTGACCGAATCATCATGGCAAGGTAGAAATCCACATACGTATGTAGTTGGTTGTTATGCCCCAATCGAAGGTGCGCCGAGGCAGAAGAGGAGAAATTTTATGGAGCCTTCGGTGTCCTGCTGCAACACTGCCGAACTAGGGATATGTTTATTGTTCTGACTGATTTCAATGTGAAACTGGGAATAAAGAATGAGGATTTGTATACATGCGTGGAATCACACAATATTGGCGAAATAAGTGATGATATCAGTGAATGACACCAGCATTGTATGATATGCTCGATCGATCTATTTGTTAGCAGTACGTGGATTCCTCACAAATCAGTGCATAAAATTACATAATCCTCCATTTATGCATCAGCAGGAGACCATATCTGTCATATTTTCATTATCAGCAAGTCATCGAGCATGCCTAAAACATGTCAAGGTGTAAAGAAGTGCTGAATGGGACAGATGATGAGTTGGTGATAGCTAAAGGTATATTACAGCGGTGGTCCTTGACTGGCAGTCCACAATCTACCGCAAAGTTTCAAATCGACAAACTCAAGCATATCAGGTCAAGATGCAGGTCATTTATTGCTTATATAGGCGATACGTCGGTAGAGAAAACTTACAACATATAAAAAAATCAGTAGTAACAAAGGACGGTAGAGGTTCAACTGGGACGGAATAAACGATGGAGGAAACCGTAGATAAGATCCCAACGCTTATAAAACATTAACGGTATTACTGAACATAGTCTGCTACAAGGAGTTATCGAACAAACAGGTCAATATATCTGAGTCAGTCAAACGTAAGCCTGACTGTCAAGAGATAGCCGGTTCGAGCCCAAGTCGAATTAGTCCATTTTCGTTTTTCTGAGGGTAATATTTCAGGAATCTTTCATAGAAAAGAAAAGATTACAAACGAAAACGGTTTCCTAGAAGTAGATATAATATGAGAGAAAAGCGGCTACGTATTCGTGACTTATAATGCAGAAATGAGCATCACTGCCGCAACGAAATTTACAAGCTGAGTGCCAAAAATGCTGTCAAATTATGGAGGAATAAAGGGGACCTATATCCCAACAGTTATAAACATATTGTTTCTTTCTTTATTGAACAAAAGCCATCCGTAAAATGGCTTTAAATAGTAACTAAACGATGTCAGAATACAATCAGGAGTATC